TTAAACTTAAAAAAATCTGTTTATAGCAAAGCGTGGCAGGTCCCTAATAATGTCAAGTGCCAGGCCTGTCACTAGGAGGAGGGATGTGGTCAGGGAGGGAAGAGGTGTTGGTAACGGCTGGGGACCTGTAGGAGGAGGTCAGAGGGCAAGTGAGGAGGTGGTGGGGGGAGGTGTGAGAGTCGGGTTGGCCACAAAGTTTACAAACAGTGCGGCCAGGCTCAGGGTTGCCAATGTACTCCCATAGGTACCTGTAGGCTGGGTCAGCTCTCGTGGGTTAACACCATGCCCCGGTGTTATGTTGTCTGTCTTATTCTACTGACCTGGGTGTTTTGGTCTGATCGATAAACATTATAGTGAAGTTATAAAGAAGAAATAGTGAAGACAGTGAATATATAGTGAGCACATAACCAAAATAATAGTATTGACCCAACTCCCTTTGAGACTAAATGTGCCTTCAGGTAGTCACACGCCATCACAGACACCACCAATTTGACCAATCACGAGAGTCCATTTGCCGGTGGAAGGTTGTGAGTGGTCAGTTAACTTTAGGCACTCTATGGCATTCATATTTTCCGAACATTACCTATATATTGTTTTAAAAAGGATAAAATGAAGTTAAATTCGTTTATTTTGGTTTTTGACATAAAGGGATAAATTTACTTAATCATTTCAGGTATTACGTTTGTGTTAACTGAGGAAATGAAACCCAAATTGTGGTAACTTTCTTAGCTGTGAAGTGAGGGATGAAAGCTTAAAGGCATTAGCTTTGACAGAGAGCCAGCTTCAACTCTCTCATATTTCACTGACAGACAGACAGACTGACTGACTGCATTACATTCACAAAAGATCGTAAGTTAAATTTTCCTCCTAACTGGTGATGTATCTAACTGACTCTCTTAAGCTACCACACAAAGATGGATTCTCAAAGGTTCCTACGTTAAGTTTTCCTCCTAACTGGTGATGTGAGAACGTATCTAACTGACTTACTGTAGACGGACAAACAGAGAGATAGTTGGAATGTTAAATACAATGCATAGTCAGGTTATTGTCTTTAAAGGGTTAATCATCGTCCTCAAAGGGTTAAATCATCGTCCTCAAAGGGTTAATCATCGTCCTCAAAGGGTTAATCATCGTCCTCAAAGGGTTAATCATCGTCCTCAAAGGGTTAATCATCGTCCTCAAAGGGTTAATCATCGTCCTCAAAGGGTTAAATCATCGTCCTCCAAGGGTTAATCATCGTCCTCAAAGGGTTAAATCATCTACGTCCTCAAAGGGTTAATCATCGTCCTCAAAGGGTTAAATCATCGTCCTCAAGGGTTAAATCATCGTCCTCAAAGGGTTAATCATCGTCCTCAAAGGTTAAATCATCGTCCTCCAGGGTTAAATCATCGTCCTCAAGGTTTAAATCTGCATCGTCCTCAAAGGGTTAATCATCGTCCTCAAGGGGTTAATCATCGTCCTCAAAGGGGTTAATCATCGTCCTCAAAGGGTTAATCATCGTCCTCAAAGGGTTAATCATCGTCCTCAAAGGGTTAATCATCGTCCTCAAAGGGTTAATCATCGTATAAAGGGGTTAAATCATCGTCCTCAAAGGGTTATCATCGTCCTCAAGGGTTAATCATCATCCGTCCTCAAAGGGTTAAATCATCGTCCTCAAAGGGTTTAAATCATCGTCCTCAAGGGTTATATCATCGTCCTCAAAGGGTTAATCATCGTCCTCAAAGGTTCAAATCATCGTCCTCAAGGGTTAAGTCATCGTCCTCAAAGGTTATCTCGTCCTCCAAAGGGTTAATCATCGTCCTCAAAGGGTTAAATCATCGTCCTCAAAGGGTTAAATCATCGTCCTCAAGGGTTATATCATCGTCCTCAAAAGGGTTCATCATCGTCCTCAAAAGGTTAAATCATCGTCCTCAAAGGGTTAATCATCGTCCTCAAAGAGGTTATATCATCCTCAAAGGGTTAATCATCGTCCTCCAAAGGGTTAAATCATCGTCCTCAAAGGGTTAATCATCGTCCTCAAAGGGTTAAATCATCGTCCTCAAAGGGTTTAATCATCGTCCTCAAAGGGTTAATCATCGTCCTCAAAGGTTTAAATCATCGTCCTCAAAGGGTTAATCATCGTCCTCAAAGGGTTAAAATGTCGTCCTCAAAAGGTTAAATCATCGTCCTCAAAGGGTTAATCATCGTCCTCAAAAGGGTTAATCATCGTCCTCAAGGGTTAAATCATCGTCCTCAAGGGTTAAATCATCGTCCTCAAAGGGTTAATCATCGTCCTCAAAGGGTTAAATCATCGTCCTCAAGGGGTTAAATGTCGTCCTCAAAGGTTAATCATAGTCCTCAAGGGGTTAAATCGTCGTCCTCTAAGGGTTAAATCATAGATCCTCAAGGGTTATATCATCGTCCTCAAAGGGTTAAATCATCGTCCTCAAAGGGTTAAATCATCGTCCTCCAAAGATTTATATCATCGTCCTCAAAGGGTTAATCATCGTCCTCAAGGTTAAATCATCGTCCTCAAAGGGGTTAAATCATGTCCTCAAAGGGTTATATCATCGTCCTCAAAGGGGTTAAATCATCGTCCTCAAAGGGTTAAATCATCGTCCTCAAAGGGGTTATCATCGTCCTCAAAGGGTTAATCATCATCCTCAAAAGGGTTAATCATCGTCCTCAAAGGGGTTAAATCATCGTCCTCAAAGGGTTAATCATCGTCCTCAAGGGTTAAATCATCGTCCTCAAGGGTTAATCATCGTCCTCAAGGGTTAATCATCGTCCTCAAGGGTTAATGATCGTCCTCAAAGGGTTAAATCATCGTCCTCAAGGGTTATATCATCATCCTCAAGGGTTAAATCATCGTCCTCAAGGGTTAATCATCGTCCTCAAGGGTTAATCATCGTCCTCAAAGGGTTAATGTCGTCCTCAAAGGGTTAATCATCGTCCTCAAAGGGTTAAATCATCGTCCTCAAAAGGGTATATCATCATCCTCAAAGGGGTTAAATCATCGTCCTCAAAAGGTTGTCATCGTCCTCAAAGGGGTTAAATCATCGTCCTCAAGGGTTAAATCATCGTCCTCAAAGGGTTAATCATCGTCCTCAAGGGTTAATCATCGTCCTCAAAGGGTTAATCATGCGTCCTCAAAGGGTTAATCATCGTCCTCAAGGGTTAATCATCGTCCTCAAAGGGTTAAATCATCGTCCTCAAGGGTTATATCATCGTCCTCAAAGGGTTAAATCATCGTCCTCAAAGGTTAAATCATCATCCTCAAATGGTTAATCATCGTCCTCAAGGGTTATATCATCGTCCTCAAAGGGTTAATCATCGTCCTCAAGGGTTAAATCATCGTCCTCAAAGGGTTATCATCGTCCTCAAAGGGTTAATCATCGTCCTCAAAGGGTTAAATCATCGTCCTCAAAAGGGTTATATCATCATCCTCAAATGGTTAATCATCGTCCTCAAAGGGTTAATGTCGTCCTCAAAGTTTAAATCATCGTCCTCAAAGGGTTATATCATCGTCCTCAAAGGGTTAAATCATGTCGTCCTCAAGGGTTAATCATCGTCTCAAATGGTTAATCATCGTCCTCAGGGTTAATCATCGTCCTCGGGTTATATCATCGTCCTCAAAGGGTTAATCATCGTCCTCAAAGGTTAAATCATCGTCTCAGAAGTTAATCATCGTCCAAGGGTTAATCATCGTCCTCAAAGGTTAAATCATCGTCCTCAAAGGGTTAATCATCGTCCTCAAAGGTTAATCATCGTCCTCAGGGTTAAATCATCGTCCTCAAAGGGTTAATCATCGTCCTCAAAGGGTTAATCATCGTCCTCAAAGGGTTAATCATCGTCCTCAAAGGGTTAATCATCGTCCTCAAATGGTTAAGTTATAATTTTTAAGGCAAACGTGATCCAAAAAGTTCCTATTATATTAACCTGGAAATAAGTGTTGGAAATATTATCAATAAACGTTATATCTGGAGAACATTTCTTATATTAACTGTAAGTAGAACAATTTACATATAATAAAAGAACAAAATGAAGTGTTATGGTGCGCAGTGACTTCACAACCTGTTCTCCTATAACCCGTAATATTATGATAACTCAAGTTGTACTTTAATAAGTATATTTGTGTACTGTAATTTGATCATATTATACAAATTGTCTCCTGTATCAACAGTTATTACATGTGAGTTATATTTAAGATGTTAACAGGCTATGTACTGTATATTGATTATTATTCATACTATGTCCTGAGATAACAGCATTTGTTATATGAGAAATGTTCTTTGACCGAATTATTCTGTACGCGTCAACGTTGAGGGTTTATTTCTCCAACACCAAACCAATACAAGAAATATAACATTTTTCTTCATATAACACAACCACAAACGTCTATACACCACAGTTATAGTTGAGTCTTACCCTAGATAACCTTCACACGGTGAGGTCCTGTACCCATGTCCCTGAGATAAGGAGGCCTGGGCCCACACCCCTCCAATTAACACTTACTTCCCATACGCACACACACACCTCTCCTCACACACACACCTCCCCACACACACACACCTCTCCCACACACACACACACCTCTCCACACACACACACACCCTCCACACACACACACACCCTCCCACACACACACCCTCACACACACACACCTCTCCTCACACACACACACCTCCCCTGCACACACACACACACCTCTCCCACACACACACACCCCCCACACACACACACCCTCCCACACACACCCCCTCCCACACACACACACCCCCTCCCCACACACACCTCCCCACACACACACACACACACCTCTCCCCACACACACACACCTCTCCCACACACACACACACCTCCCCACACACACACACACACCTCCCCACACACACCCTCCCACACACACACCTCCCCATACACACACACCTCTCCCACACACACACACACCTCTCCCACACACACACACACCTCTCCCACACACACACACCTCTCCCACAGGGTCAATAAAACATAACTAACTCTGTCATTTCTTTAAACTTTATTATATACACAACCATCCATCACATTATTGACTGACTCATAAACAAGATATCAACACAATTGGAAAATACCATAAAATTAAATAAAAATACCGTAACAATAATAAAAGATTAATATATTAAAACCCTCAAAATTAAGTCAAATATTATTAAAATGATCTTAAAGAATAAATGACATTATATGAAATATCTCATTGCACGAATTCTAAAATTAACCAAATTATTTCTGATTTATTTGTGGTTTATTTGGCGTCAATATTATTATTAATTATTCTATTTTATTAAATTTTGGGTTAGGAAATATTTTTTGAGAATTAATAGAGATTAAATCTTTTGTTTATTTGTGTTGAATCGAAAGCAAAATCGATCATTTGTATTTGATATTTATTATAATTTTGTGAAACAGTTGAGATATTTTAAAGTGATTATTATAAGATTAAGATGTTAAAAATATATTAATCCAGCCTCTAAATAAAGTTAACTTAAGAGTTATTTTATAAATTTAAAATATAGGTAAAATAAAGTTGAATTTGAACGCCAATGTCAACACTATTTTCTGTTTACATTGTCAATCATTACGATACAGTATATTTACCTCTTTTAAAACATCAGAAAATCTTTATATGCAGTATCAGTTTCTTAAGCCATGATATATTAAATTATTTTAGTATCTATTTATTATTCCTTGTGTTTCTTCTTCACTTCCTCCGCCGTCATACGAAAATATCGAATATTCTGTGATAATCTTCATATTCACTCCTGTCTCCTCACACTCGTCAGGTTGGAAAAAACATCAATTACTAATATTTATCTATATTTTTCATTACTGTGTCTTTATAATTTGTTTTTAGGCTTGTTTATATCATGTACTGTAACGTAATATCCTGAGCATCAGCGGCAGGAGCCAGATGATAGTTCCTGTAAGAGAGAAGTGACGTCAATTAACAGGAGTTTTGAAAATATATTAAGGAAAATATCACAAATTAAACGCTGTAGTGTCATATAAGTGTTAAGTATAAGTTAAATTGGTAGATATAAGTAATATTCTAACTTATAATTAATATTTCACTTAAATCTTTACTAATAAGTGACTCGAACATTAGCTTAGGACAGTTTAAGTTAGCATTATAGTGGTTAATGTTTAGGCACAGTAAGCTGGGGTGGATAATCTTCAGGTGATCTAAATAAGTTGGGTTAATTTAACGAAAGAAAATAACCATTTAAATATCTATCAATACTGAATAGACTACAAGAACCGTCACCAAAATAGAGCTCTAGCAGTAGATGTGTCTGGAGATATATATAACAGGAAGATTAGTTACCCAGCTTATTTCACCTGATGCTAAATGGGGTTAGGTTAGGATTAGTATTACAACATTGAATCATCAGGTAAAATAATCTAAGGTTTCTAATCTAAATGTGAATCAATAATAGTATCCATCATAGTCAGAAAATGATCCGGATAATAGTAAAATAAGCGATGTAAGCAAAACATTTCCCGCCACCAGACAGACATGGAAGTACTCTACTGTACTGTGTAAACGTCTAACCATATAATCCTCGTAAGCAAAACATTTCCCGCCACCAGACAGACATGGAAGTACTCTACTGTACTGTGTAAACGTCTAACCATATAATCCTCAGAGTGAGATCTTGTCAGTGGATTATTTCTTCATTATTTAACCAATCTCTTTATTTTCCAGGGGTGTTGGCGCCACCTAGGAAATTGGAATCCTCGCCATTACCACCCATATCGCCTTCAGCACATGCAGGATCGCCCAAATTAAAGCAGAAGTTACGGCATTGACGATCAGTGTTAGTTGAACAGAAGGAACGGATGGATCGACCAGTTACTCTCAGGTTACGGAAGTCTATATTGGCAGCACTGGCCTTACCGAGTTGATCTAGTTCATGTTGGAGGCTTGACTCGCTGTGGTGGAGGTGAGAGATTATGAAAAGGTGTGGTGAGAGGTCAATAAGAGGTGTGGTGAGACGTTATAAATGGCTATAGTAGAGGTAGAGAGGTCATGAAAGAGGTGAGGTAGAGAGGTCATGAAAGAGGTGGTATGGGACTATACGGATTAAATTTAAAGGAGAAATTAAAGAGTTGAATTAAGGGCACTTTTAAGGGGCCCAAACTTGACCACTTAAGGGGGAGGATAAAGACTTGTTCCAGGAGACAGAGAGGGAGAGAGAGAGAGAGAGAGCTAATGTTCCTGAAAAATATCTAAATTATCACCATATCATTAGTTCATGTTTCTGTAAAAAATAATTATTATATATTAAGGTTAAGGGAGAATTATTAATAGCGTCAGCAAGCTTCATGTGTGCTGATCTTAAATTACTTCTACTACTACTACTACTACTACTACTACTACTACTACTACTACTACTACTACTAGCACAAGTACACAAGCTCACCCTCCAGGCATCAACAAGCAGCAGCCCCATATGCTTGTTTTGAGAAAGTTCATTGCATTTGTTGAGAGGGCTGTAGTGAAGAGGATGACTCGTAGGGTCCAGTAAGGTCTGGCAGTGACCGCCTCTTTCTCCCGGGGGAATTAAGTGAATCCCAATAGTTTTTCTCTGCCATGGCGCCGACCAGATCCTTGTAGTCACACCCATGCGAGAGTCCGGCGTTGATATAGCAGGTTCGTTTCCTGTGGGCGCTGGCGTTAGTACAGGCGTTGATGGCGTTGTTATGTGGGGTTAAAACGTCAGCGTGTATAGTTCAACGCTATATATTGGGGTTTATTGCATGCTGGGGTTGATTTGCGTTGTTGTGTAAGTGTTATGTTGCGTTGAAATGTTACCATGCATAGTTGAACGCTTTCGGATGCATGCACATGTTGATATTCACTGTTGTGGGAGGCTATGTGGCGTCTAAACGTCGGCGTGCACAGTTTACCCAGCTAAATTGTGTAGATTGCGTTCAGGCGTTGAAATTTATTAGTACATTAAGTTAGTTCTATTACGCTTCAACGCCTTTGATAGCATGCAGGCGTTGATAATTACTTAAGTAAGGTGGTTATGTTGCGTTTAAACGTCGGCGTGTACAGTTGAACGCCGGAGAAGGGGCGAGGTGTCTCAATGGTACACACTTTTAACGATGACATGTAGTACATATACAAACCTTTAACGTACACATGTACACATAGAAGCAAGCCTACGATGCGCGTGTACACATATACTGAAGCCTTAACGTACACATGTACACATAGAAGCAAGTCTACGATGCGCATGTACACATATACTGAAGCCTTAATGTACACATGTACACATAGAAGCAAGTCTACGATGGGCATGTACACATATACTGAAGCCTTAACGTACACATGTACACATAGAAGCAAGTCTACGATGGGCATGTACACATATACTGAAGCCTTAATGTACACATATACTTAACCTTTAACATACATATGTACTCAAATCTTAACACACACGTATACTGAAGCCTTATCGTACACATGCATTAGGACAGTCGGGTTAGGGGCGACTCAGAGCCCCAGGATATATATATTTGGTGTCATATTACGCGGTCACCCACCAACCGTTGTGAGGTCACGGTTGTGTTGGTCTAAGCCGTCAGGTCAGTTTAATCAGTCAACAAGTAGTGTGTCCGAGGTCATAAGAACATAAGAAAGTGGGATACTGCATCCAACTTATGTTTGAAGCTATCCAGGGTATTAGAGTTTATGGTGATATTTGGCAACTTGTTCCACTCATCCAAACCAATGTATCTTTGTAATGTCCCCTTTATATAAGAAAATAAGGAGTCTGCAATAGGCCAGTTGGCCTGTGACATGGCAGCTCCTGTCGAGAGTTACTACCACTCTCTATCATCCATGAATCTATCTAGCCTCCTTTTGAAACTTTCCAGAGTTCCAGCACTTACTACAAAGTTGCTAAGCTTGTTCCACTCGTCCACCACCCTATTTGTGAATCAAGTTCTTCCTATCTCCCCCCCTTTGTTTAGCCCTGACTTCCATTTATACACCTCTGTCATGTCGCCCCTCTACCTACATCTCGAGGAGTGCAAATTAACACGCTTTAACCTGTCTCTGTACTCAAGGTTCCTAATGCCCGGGATTAGTCTTGCCATTCTATAAATTAAGGGATTAACTATTATAATTAATATGACTCATTATTATTCATTATTACAAACTTATTTATTCACTAAACCAATATAAATAATCACAAGAGATAATTTATATTAAGAATCACTAAATATGTTATATTTTGGGTCGCTCACCGCATCCCAGGTTGAACATCTGTTGGGCTGGAGCCGTCCCAGCCGTTGAGAGTGGAGATAAGACGACGAATTAGCAACAGTTCTCGCAGGCGTTCTGGTATCTCGGCTGAATCACTGTAAAGAGAGGTAAGGGCAGATAATGAGAGACACAGTGAGAGGAAGAGAGGTAAGGGCAGATAATGAGAGTCAGTGAGAGGAAGAGAGGTAATGCAGTACGATGTCTTGGATTCGTTAGACTTTAGTGATACGGTTCATTAGCCTATTACTATCTTTAGGGCAATTCCCCAGCCAATCGAGAGAAGGATGTCTACGCTAGTCAAAAAGATTATCGCTTGCACAATCCAGCGTGAATATTTATTATAACTAATCATATTGACACAGGGCCGGATTTACCAATTGGCCAAGTAGGCCATTGGCCTTGGGCCCACCGGTATCTGGGGCCCCACTGAAACTAACTTGTCGCGCAGCGTGCCAGCGTATAACCTTGTTTCAAGTGTGCACCGAGTATTTCATTATGTAATATATTCAACCATAAGGGCCCTACAATAAGTACTGAGATGGGCCCTAACATAGGCCTGGAGTATGGGGCCCTGCACAAGTAGGCCCGGAGTATGGGGCCCTGTACACAAGTATAGGGCCTGGAGTATGGGGCCCTGTAAAAAGTAGATGCCCAGGCTGCACAATAAGTATAGGCTCGAGTATGGGCCCCTGTACAATAAGTATAGGCCTGGAGTATGGGGCCCTGTACAATAAGTAGGCTCATATGGGGCCCCTGTACAATAAGTATAGGGTCTATATGGGGCCCCTGTAACAAGTATAGGGCCTGGAGTATGGCCCTGTACAATAAGTATAGGGCCTATATGGGCCCCTGTACAATAAGTATAGGGCCTGGAGTATGGGGCCCCTGCAATAATAAGTATAGGCCTATAAATCCCTGCACACAGGGCCTGAGTATGGGGCCCTGTACAATAAGTATAGGCCTGGAGTATGGGGGCCCTGTACAATGTTAGGCTCATATGTGGGGCCCTGTACAATAAGTATAGGGCCTGAGTATGGGCCCTGTACAATAAGTATATGGGAGTATGGGGCCCTGTACAATAAGTATAGGTCTGGGAGTAGGGGCCCCTGTACAATAAGTATAGGCCTGAGTATGGGGCCCCTGTACAAGTATAGGGCCCGGAGTATAGGCTCCTGCAATAAGTATAGCTGGAGTCCCCTGTACAATAAGTATAGGGCCCGAATTCTGTACAAATAAGTATAGGGCCTGAGCATGGGGCCCTGTACAATAAGTATAGGCCGAGTATGGGGCCCGTACAATAAGTATAGGGCCTGAGTATGGGGCCTCTGTACAATAAGTATAGCCCGAGTATGGGGCCCCTGTACACAAGGCCTGGATATGGGGCCCTGCATAAGTATAGGCCTGGAGTATGGGGCCCCTGTACACAAGTATAGCCCTGAGTATGGGGCCCTGTACAATAAGTATAGGGCCTGAGTATGGGGCCCCCACACAAGTATAGCCCGGGAGTATGGGCCCTGTACAATAAGTATAGGGCCCGGAGTATGGGGCCCACAATAAGTATAGCCTGAGTATAGCCCCTGTACACAAGTATAGGCCGGGAGCATGGGGCCCCTGTACACAAGATAGGCCCTGAGTATGGGGCCCTGTACAACAAGTATAGGCCTGGAGTATGGGGCCCCTGTACAACAAGTATAGGGCCTGAGTATGGGGCCCCTGTACACAAGTATAGGGCCTGATATAGATCCTGTACACAAGTATAGGGCCCGGAGTATGGGGCCTGTACAACAAGTATAGGCCTGAGAGGCCTCTGTACAATAAGTATAGGGCTCCGGAGTATGGCCTCACAATAAGTATAGGGCCCGAGTATGGGCCCCTGTACAATAAGTATAGGGCTGAGTATGGGGCCCTGTACAATAAGTATAGGGCCCGGAGTATGGGGCCCCTGTACAATAAATATAGGGCCGGAGTATGGGGGCCTGTACAATAAGTATAGGGCCCGGAGTATGGGGCCCCTGTACAATAAGTATAGGGCCCGGAGTATGGGGCCCCTGTACAATAAGTATAGGGCCCGGAGTATGGGGCCCTGTACAATAAGTATAGGGCCGGGTATGGGGCCCTGTACAATAAGTATAGGGCCGGAGTATGGGGCCCCTGTACAATAAGTATAGGGCCCGGAGTATGGGGCCCATACCAATAAGTATAGGGCCGGAGTATGGGGCCCCTGTACAATAAGTATAGGCCCAGGTATGGGGCCCCTGTACAATAAGTATAGGGCCCGGGTATGGGGCCCTGTACAATAAGTATAGGGCCCGGAGTATGGGGCCCTGTACAATAAGTATAGGCCAGGTATGGGGCCCTGTACAATAAGTATAGGGCCCGGTATGAGGATCTGTACTGCAATAAGTATAGGGCCGGGTATGAGGGCCCCTGTACAATAAGTATAGGGCCGGAGTATGGGGCCCCTGTACAACAAGTATAGGGCCGGGTATGGGGCCTGTTACAATAAGTATAGGGCCGGAGTATGGGGCCCTGTTACAATAAGTATAGGGCCGGAGTATGAGGGCCCCTGTACAATAAGTATAGGGGCCAGGTATGAGGCCCCTGTACAATAGTATAGGCGGAGTATGGGGCCTGTACAATAAGTATAGGGCCCGGAGTATGGGGCCTGTACAATAAGTATAGGGCCCGGAGTATGGGGCCCCTGTACAATAAGTATAGGGCCCGGAGTATGGGGCCCTGTACAATAAGTATAGGGCCCGGAGAATGGGGCCCTGTACAATAAGTATAGGGCCCGGAGTATGGGGCCCCTGTACAATAAGTATAGGGCCCGGAGTATGGGGCCCCTGTACAATAAGAATAGGGCCCGGAGTATGGGGCCCCTGTACAATAAGTATAGGGCCCGGAGTATGGGGGCCCTGTACAATAAGTATAGGGCCTTGAGTATGGGGCCCCTGTACAATAAGTATAGGGCCCGGAGTATGGGGGCCCTGTACAATAAGTATAGGGCCCGGAGTATGGGGCCCCTGTACAATAAGTATAGGGCTCGGAGTATGGGGCCCCTGTACAATAAGTATAGGGCCCGGAGTATGGGGCCCCTGTACAATAAGTATAGGCCCGGAGTATGGGGCCCCTGTACAATAAGTATAGGGCCCGGAGTATGGGGCCCCTGTACAATAAGTATAGGGCCCGGAGTATGGGGCCCCTGTACAATAAGTATAGGGCCCGGAGTATGGGGCCCCTGTACAATAAGTATAGGCCTGCAGTGGTCGTCAACTGGTGGGCCACGGACTAGGCCCTGTAGTAAAATGAAGAAATAAGATAAAATAAGAAAAAAAAAAATATATATATATAAATTGTTTTAAATGTCCGTGTACCACCATCGATCTGTCTATAAGAGAGAGAGAGAGAGAGAGAGAGAGAGAGAGAGAGAGAGACCTTCACGTGCGGGGACAGGATCATTTCACGTTCAGTAAGTGTCAGCTCGCTCAGCCAGTCATTGAAACATGCAAACATTTCTATAAATTTGGGGGCCCACTGATGAGTTTGGCCCGGGGCCCACAAGTAGGAGCCCCGAGTATAAGCTCTCTCTCTCTCTCTCTCTCTCTCACCGTTGTTTACACTCGCTGGGGACACAGTTGCCAGCTAGACATTAAACATTATTAAGTGTCACCGGCCTATCAGCTTAATGGTCCCTTGGGAGCGTTTCTCTGCCTAGGATGGACGACGACCGTGTTTAAGAGATCTTTTCTTTACTAGGTGCGTCAAGGATCCCGGTTTACGAAATTATTAGTGATTACTGAAATGAGTTTTAATATGATAGATGATGATGATAATGATGATAATGATGATGATGATGATGATGATCTTTTTATTAGCTGGGGCGATGATTCTTCAGGTGATCCTAGCAACATATTCCACCAAATCTCGTTAATTGACCTATTAACGTTCACAAAAGCCCAGTAAGTTCTTGATTATAAAGTAATGATCTGAGTTTAATTAGTGAAAGTAATTTGATATAATTTGTTGATAATTAAGGATGAATTACCTAAGATATGGGTAGTTTAGATAGCTTATATTCCCCTCTGGCATGGATAAGGCTATATTATAATAACCATATATCTTGGTCCACCGCTTAAATAACCCTTATATAGATTATCACCATCACTAACCCTATAATAGACCATTTTGAGGCCATATGCTCTTGATATTCTGAGGTCAATATTTATTTTTTTACGGGAATATAGTAAGAATTGAAGTAATGACAAATATATTAGTTTGTGTTCGTTGTGTCTTAATTAGGTAAATGATAATAATAATAATATAAACTTTAGGCCCGTTGTGTCTTAGGTAAATAATAATAATATAAACTTTAGGCCCGTTGTGTCTTAGGTAAATAATAATAATATAAACTTTAGGCCCGTTGTGTCTTAGGTAAATAATAATAATATAAACTTTAGGCCCGTTGTGTCTTAGGTAAATAATAATAATATAAACTTTAGGCCCGTTGTGTCTTAGGTAAATAATAATAATATAAACTTTAGGCCCGTTGTGTCTTAGGTAAATAATAATAATATAAACTTTAGGCCCGTTGTGTCTTAGGTAAATAATAATAATATAAACTTTAGGCCCGTTGTGTCTTAGGTAAATAATAATAATATAAACTTTAGGCCCGTTGTGTCTTAGGTAAATAATAATAATATAAACTTTAGGCCCGTTGTGTCTTAGGTAAAATTATCAGTAATTATAAACAGCAAACTCAACGCTAATTACCAACATAGTTATTGAGATATAAAAAGTTTCTTCACAGCAACAGTAATTATTAACAGTAGTTACCTCTCTTGTATAGGATGAGGGTGTGGAACAGCCAAGGTGACCCACAGTAGCAGGGTCGCGCTCAGTAGACACCAGCTACCGCCCATCATCACTGTCTCTTGAACAAAACATGGTCATTATTTAAATATTTACTATAATACCTGATCTAACCTAACAATAACCTGCCCTAACACTAACCTACCCTAACACTAACCTAACAGTAACCTGCCCTAACACTAACCTGCCCTAACACTAACCTAACAGTAACCTGCCCTAACACTAACCTGCCCTAACACTAACCTAACAGTAACCTGCCCTAACACTAACCTAACAGTAACCTGCCCTAACACTAACCTAACAGTAACCTGCCCTAACAATAACCTGCCCTAACACTTGCTTACCTAACACCTAACTAACAGTAACCTGCCCTAACACTAACCTGCTAACACTAACCTAACAGTAACCTGCCCTAACACTAACCTAACAGTAACCTGCCCTAGCACTAACCTGCCCTAACACTAACCTAACGATGACACTGCCCTAACACTAACCTAACAGTAACCTGCCCTAACAATAGCTTACTTGCCCTAACACTAACCTAACGGTAACCCCACCTTTGCCCCAACCTTTCAACACTAACCTAACAGTAACCTTTCTTACTAACCTAACGGTAACCTGCCCTAACACTAACCTGGCAATAACCTTAGCACAACACTAACCTAACGGTAACCTTTCTTGCTAACCTAACGGTGACACTTAGCACAACACTTCAACCTAACATTGACATAACACCAACACTAACCTAACAGTAACCTGCCCTAACACTAACCCCTAACAGTAACCTGCCCTAACACAACCCTATGATAACCTGCCCTAACACTAACCCTAACAGTAACCTGCCCTAACACTAACCTAACAATAACCTGCCCTAACACTAACCTAACAGTAACCTGCCCTAACACTAACCTAACAGTAACCTGCCCTAACACTAACCTAACACTAACCTGCCCTAACACTAACCTAACAGTAACCTGCCCTAACACTAACCTAACAGTAACCTGCCCTAACACTAACCTAACCAACCTGTATCCTAATTGTCAATACTTCAGGATAGTTGTTCAGAGTAATTAAACAGATAATATCAGTAAAATGACCCACAATTAGTACTACTTAATTGCCTCATTAACAAGAGACATCATCAACGCCTTCATTATAAAGTCAGTCAACAACGAAGGTTTTTTTTAACTCTGGGATAATTTACGTTTTTCTAATAATCCGCATCACTAAAATAATCTCTCTCTCTCCCCCTCTCCCTCTCTCTCTCCCTCTCTCCCTCCATCAATAAACTAGCCTCACCTATAGCGCAGGTTGGGGTTGTCTGCAACAAAGGAGTTAGGCCTTCCATGTTGAGCCGCACAAAGTGGACAGTGACCACATAACATTATCAAGATCGTGTGAGTGATTGTAGTGGAACACGTTACCAATTATCATCATTAACTCGAATACGCTGGATAGCTTCAAACATGGGTTGGATGCTTATATGAGAAATAGGGGCTGGGTGTAAACGGGACTGCCCAGATGGGGTCAGGAGGCCTCCAACCACAAAATCATTGCCATATGACAAAACTTTTATTTTATTTTTTACGGAGTTGTGGTGACGGCCGTGCTGAAGGCCAACCAGGGAGTGTAGAGCTGTGCCTTTAGTTACATCAGTTGATAGTTTCGTCAGTGACTGCGGATTGCCAGGTAAAATTGCGAGCATTACATGCCCAGTACTTGGCAGCAGTGCGTAACACAAGTGACCGATCGCCCTAACAGCTATCAGGTGATAATTGGTGAGGGTAAAATAAAGGTTTACTCTCTCTCTTCACTGGGTAATATTCTAAATTAATCTGCTCAGAGTATTTATTTAACAATTTATTAACCTCTCTGTATATGTCAGTCTAGGGAGCGTAACAACCATTGACACACCCTACAGTCCCAGGAGACCTGACCCAGGTTGGTAAATAATTAACATGATCTTGCGAAATGACCGCGTTTGAGATAACTCATTATCAACAGTCGGGCTCAGGCCACACCTCGCTCACAGACGGCAGTGAAGTAGTATACTTAGTGTGAGGAAGACGTCCCCAGGCATCTACTCAACGTATAACAAAAGTAAGTCGGTTGGCCTGTGCATGGCAGCCCCTGTCGAGAGTTACTACCACTCTCTATCATCCATGAATCTATCTAGCCTCCTTTTAAAACTTTCCAGAGTTCCAGCACTTACTACAAAGATGCTAAGCTTGTTCCACTCGTCCACCACCCTATTTGTGAACCAGTTTCTTCCTATCTCGCTCCTAAACCTAAACTTATCCAACTTGAATCCGTTGCTCCGAGTCCTATCCTGCTCAGATATTATAAGAACTTTATCTATATCCCCTTTATTGATTCCTTTCACCCACTTAAATACTTCTATCATATCTCCCCGCACTCTTCGTCTTTCTAGGGAATGCAAGATAAGTTTCTTTAACCTATCCTGATATGGAAGGTTTCTAAGTCCCGGAATCATTTTTGTCATTCTTCGCTGCACCGACTCTAGTGAATTGATATCCATTCTATAATAAGGGCACCAGAACTGAACCGCATAATCGAGGTGCGGCCTGACTAGTGCAAGATATAGTTGCAATAAGACCTCTGCACTCTTGTTACTTACACTTCTAGATATAAAAAGCTAATACTCTGTTTGCCTTATTTCGAACATTAACGCACTGTTTTCTAGGCCGTAGGTCCGGGCTTACAAGTACCCCTAAGTCTCTTTCACAAGTCGACTTCTCTAGGTTGATGTTGTTAAGGCTGTATACATTGACAGTATTTGTTCTTCCAGTATTAAGTACGCTGCACTTGCTGGTGTTGAATTTCATCTGCCATTTCTCAGACCACCCCTGCAGTTTATTTAGATCCTCCTGTAGTGTATCTGCATCCTGCCCTGAATTAATCTGCCGCCCTATTTTGGTGTCCTACCTTACCTCTTCACTAATACTCAGATAACCACCCAGGGCATCCAACGGTTGATAACCATAATTGAATAACCTTGGGATCGAAGCGACCTTAGAAGGGGGAGCTATAACCAGATTACAGAAGGGAGATAGTATAAGGGTTAATACCACCTTAGAAATGGAGTCATTCTCACCTTTATGACTTCCAGAACGCCGCCAATACAACAGCTGTGACAATAGGCTTCTTGTTTTATTCCCGATGAAGGTGTTTGTGGTACGTGTGTGTGGGAGGACTTTGATGCTTTTGAGTACGATTTTAAACCAGTGGGGACTTTCATAGGTCCTTCAGTACGATTTTAATCCATTGAGTACGATTTTTAACCCGAGTACTATTTCTGTCCAATGAGTATTGTCAGTACGGGGCCCACTCCTGTTCGTAGTCTACATAAACAATCTAGATACTGCGTGCGTGTGTGTGTTTAACTTGTACACCCCTCTCTCTCTCTCTCTCTCTCTCTCCCTCTCTCTCTCTCTCTCTCTCTCTCTCTCTCTCTCTCCTCTCTCTCTCTCTCTCTCTCTCTCTCTCTCTCTCTCCCTCTCTCTCTCTCTCTCTCCAAACAATAATCACTGGTAATATCTGTTAATTGTTTTAAAATTATTTGTTTTTTTTAATTCAATGACATAATTACTTTTCCGTTAATGATGATTGTGTGTGTGTGTGTGTGTGTGTGTTTTGTGTGGGCAATATTGTTTGTTTACGTTTCAGCCACAGGCACTTATTAATTTACTTATTTCCATAAAAGTACTTTAATAATAGCGTTCACTTACATTAGTTACCGTCAAAACTATAAAATTCCAATATTACACACACACACACACACACACACACACACCCCTTGCCGCAGGGAAGAACATTTTGAGAACCTTTTTAGTCGATGAAATTCTCTCGTTCGTATTTGAGGATGATGTGCAATTGCATACGAATGATTCCCTCCTATATACTATATGTGCAATGTTGCAGAGATATTTGGCGTGTTGCAAGATGCATTTGGCAGTGTGGAAAATGGCTGAAAGATCAAATAGGATTTATCTTATGGGGAAATACATCACCGTATTGTTCAGTTCTGGTGACCGTATTGTTCAGTTCTGGTCACCGTATTGTTCAGTTCTGGTCACCGTATTGTTCAGTTCTGGTCACCGTATTGTTCAGTTCTGGTCACCGTATTGTTCCGGTTCTGGTCACCGTATTGTTCAGTTCTGGTCACCGTATTGTTCAGTTCTGGTCACCGTATTACAGAATGGATATAGAATCCTTGGAAAGAATTCAGAGGAGAATGACAAGACTAATCCCGGGCATTAGGAACCTTGAGTACAGAGACAGGTTAAGCATCTTAAATCACTCCTCGAGACGTAGAGTGAGGGCGACCTGATAGAGGTGTATAAAGTGGAAAACGGGGGCTAAACGAGGGGCATTACAAAGGTACTCAAACTATCCAACCAGGAGCGAACTCGTAACAATGGTTTTAAATTAGACAAATTTAGATTTAGGCGTGAAATAGGTAAACACTGGTTTGGAAACAGAGTAGTGGACGAGTGGAACAAGTTACCAAATATCATCATTAACTCGAATACGCTGAATAGCTTCAAACATAGGTTGGATGAGCAATAGGGGTTGGGTGTAAACGGGACTGCCCAGTATGGCCCGCTGCAGTTTCCTCCATTCTTATGTTCTTAAACACAAGATGACGTTATTATCACACGGACTCTACCTTAATGCGTTAACTTAACACTGGTTTGGTTTGAACCTGTACTCAGGGGGTTAATATAGCGCTCGTCTCGGGAGGACTAAAAATCGTACTCAAATGGTTAAGACAATACTCAATAGATTAAAATAGTACTGGGGGGGGGGGGTTAAGAACATAAGCAGTTGGCCTGTGACATGGCAGCTCCTGTCGAGAGTTACTACCACTCTCTATCATCCATGAATCTATCTAGCCTCCTTTTGAAACTTTCCAGCGTCCCAGCACTTACTACAAAGTTGCTAAGCTTGTTCCACTTCTATCATATCTCCCCGCACTCTTCGTCTTTCTAGGGAATGCAAGTTAAGTTTCTTTAACCTATCCTGATATGGAAGGTTTCTAAGTCCCGGAATCATTTTCGTCATTCTTCGCTGCACCGACTCTAGTGAATTGATATCCATTCTATAATAGGGGCACCAGAACTGAACCGCATAATCGAGGTGCGGCCTGACTAGTGCGAGACATAGTTGCAATAAGACCTCTGCACTCTTGTAACTTACACTTCTAGATATAAGACCCAATACTCTGTTTGCCTTATTTCGAACATTAACGCACTGTTTTCTAGGCCGTAGGTCCGGGCTTACAAGTACCCCTAAGTCTCTTTCACAAGTCGACTTCTCTAGGTTGATGTTGTTAAGGCTGTATACATTATAACACACTCACCGCTCAACACACTCACCACCAACACACTCACCGTCCAACACACTCACCACCAACACACTCACCCTCCAACACACTCACCACCAACACACTCACCACCCAACACACTCACCACCAACACACTCACCGTCCAACACACTCACCGTCCAACACACTCACCGTCCAACACACTCACCGTCCAACACACTCACCCTCCAACACACTCACCACCCAACACACTCACCTTGTTAACAGACGTAAAGATGGCCACCAATTAAAGAAGATCCTCAAATGGTCGTTCCGTGTGGTGAAGAGGTCAGGTCAGGTCAGGTCAGGAGAGGTCGGCTGTGTTCTTTCTGCCAGGTTCCTTCCGGTTGCAAGCGATGACTGAGAGGCCCACGGGGTTTATATAACCAGGGTGAAGGGGCGGGGTCTTGGCTGCCATTGGATGATCTCAGGTGACGTTGCAAGTCAAACCTTCATTCTGATTGGCTGGTATTACATGACGTCATGGTCCCATATATACCCTATTGGACCAGGTTAATATTGAGATAATTTTATCCCCAAAAATACAATTAAAACAAAAGTAACTAAATAAAGGATGAAAATATAATACAATGAACAATTAAACACAAATACAACCATTAAATAACTCACCGTAAAATACAGCATAAATAATCGATATATTGAGAAAAAAGTCGAGAATTGTCAAAATAACTAACTTGAGGTGAGGTGAGATGAGGTGAGATGAGGTGAGGTGAGGTGAGATAAGGTGAGGTGAGGTGAGGTGAGATGAGGTGAGATGAGATGAGGTGAGATGAGGTGAGGTGAGGTGAGGTGAGATGAGGTGAGGAGAGGTGAGGTGAGGTGAGGAGCCTCGGTATAAGGTTCTTTATAAGGAATTGGATCACATGAAGAATCGTCACCCCAGTTTATTTCACCTAACCTAATGCTATTTCGGGATTAAGTTAGGTTCTGACTAATCACAGAACAGGTACAACCTTCCTAGCCAATCATAAGACAGTTACAATCTCCCTAACCAATCACAGGGGAGATATTTTGTCGGCAACCAATTACAAGAAAAAACAACCTTGCCAACCAATCACAAGATAGACCCAACATCCTCAGCCAATAGAAGTGGAGATACACCAACCATAAGCGTGTCTAACCAATCAGGCGAATCATTTACGCTACGAATCTTTTCTGATCAGTAATTCATGAAGGGGCGAGTTTTACCCCCACTGGTTGAGGGAGGGAAGGAGGGAAGGAAGGAGGAAGGAGGGAAGGAGGGAGGAAGGAGGAGGAAGGAGGGAGGAGGAAGGGAAGGAGGAGGAGGAAGGAGGAGGAAGGAGGGAGGGGGAAGGGAAGGAGGAGGAGGAGGAGGGAAGGGAGGGAGGAGGGAAGGAGGGTGAGGGAGGGGGAGGGAGGAAGGAAGGAGAGGGGGAAGGGAGGGAGTGAGGGGAAGGGAGGGGGAAGGAAGGAGGGAGGGAAGGAGGGAAGGAAGGAGGGAGGGAGGGAGGGAGGGAGGGAGATAAGAAGCATCCTTTTAAATCCGTGTTACCTCACTACCTCACCCGGATTTAAATAGACCCAAAGATTATCATTATTTATTATTATTATTATTTATTATTATTATTATTATTATTATTGTTATTATTATTATTATTATTGTTGTTGTTGTTGTTGTTGTTGTTGTTGTTGTTGTCACCAGAAATTCGTAAACACTCTACAAACAATAGCAATTATAAACACATCACTTGTTTACACCAACAGTAGATAAACAGCATTAGTTTTCGTCATTGAGTGGCGTATACTCCATCACCCATTATATTAGACCTCCCGGGGCCAGTAACACATCTATGGGCCTTAATCGGGACAATTTATCTTAGTTACCCATTATATTAGACCTCCCGGGGCCAGTAACACATCTATGGGCCTTAATCGGGACAATTTATCTTAGTCACCCATTATATTAGACCTCCCGGGGCCAGTAACACATCTATGGGCTTTAATAGGGACAATTTATCTTAGTTACCCATTATATTAGACCTCCCGGGGCCAGTAACACATCTATGGGCCTTAATAGGGACAATTTATCTTAGTTACCCATTATATTAGATCTCACGGGGCCAGTAACACATCTATGGGCTTTAATAGGGACAATTTATCTTAGTTACCCATTATATTAGACCTCCCGGGGCCAGTAACACATCTAATGGGCTTTAATAGGGACAATTTATCTTAGTTACCCATTATATTAGACCTCCCGGGGCCAGTAACACATCTATGGGCTTTAATAGGGACAATTTATCTTAGTTACCCATTATATTAGACCTCCCGGGGCCAGTAACACATCTATGGGCATTAATAGGGACAATTTATCTTAGTTACCCATTATATTAGACCTCCCGGGGCCAGTAACACATCTATGGGCCTTAATAGGGACAATTTATCTTAGTTACCCATTATATTTGACCTCCCGGGGCCAGTAACACATCTATGGGCTTTAATAGGGACAATTTATCTTAGTTACCCATTTTTATATTTATTTGGGGGAATTTTTATTTATTTGGGGAAAATTTTCGTGGTTTTAGGGAATTTTATATCATTGTGGTGGATTTGGGGAGAATTTTTATTAAGTTATTTCAAGGTTTTATTTCCTAGTTAGATTAGGTTAAGTAAGATTAGATTAGGTTAGGTTACGTTAGATTAGGTTACGTTAGGTTACGTTAGATTAGGTTAGGTTAGATTAGGTTAGGTTACGTTAGATTAGGTTAGGTTACGTTAGATTAGGTTAGGTTAGGTTTAATAATCAGTCAACAAACGAATGGTGTTGAAAAATAGACCATAAAAACAGCTTTAATTACTGTGACCGATTATCCAGAATGAAGGTTTTGTTGGCAAGAGTGTGCTATACGTCAGTGGTGGTGGAGGGTCGAAATCACCTCCAATTGGGCTTGAAATTGACCTTTGTTGACCTTAAGTCACTCAGGTCAATTAGGCCCAAATGTATCGATGCATTATTGTAATGATGTGTTGTCTTTTTTGTGGGTAGTAAGGTGGTCTCTCTCTCTCTCTCTCTCTCTCTCTCTCTCTCTCTCTCTCTCTCTCTCTCTCTCTCTCTCTCTCTCTCTCTCTCTCTCTCTCTCTCTCTCTAACTCTCTCTCTCCTCTCTCTCTCTCTCTCTCTCTCTCTCTCTCTCTCTCTCTCGTCTCCGTGAAGCTCCAGTAATCAATCATTAAGTCATACTGTGAGAGGTAAATAATTTCTTTCAACCATTACTTAATTAATGTTTAAGTTAATGTGGTAGGTTGGGTGTGGGGTGGTGGTGGTGTGGGTGGGTGTGTGGGTGGGGTGTGGGTGTGTGGGGGTGGGAGGGTGTGGGTGTGTGGGGGTGGGAGGGTGTGGACAATTACTATCACCAATAACATTCTCTCATCACCAGTTAAAACAAAGCTTTTTAGAATTAGTCTTTATCACATGAACATTAGACACCCCAGCTTATCTCACGTGAAGATTAACCACCCCAATGTTATTCTGGTAATACAGTTGTTAGGTGGACGTAATAAACTGGAAGACACACGTGAACGACCCTTGTTTCAATGTTTATGGCACTTGTCACAGGAGATGGGTTCAATTAGTTACACCCCCAAAGAATAACATTTAGACACACATAGCCCCGCCCATACGATGTGCCAACCAATCAGGGTAACAGAACATAAGGACCCTTGGAAAATAACTATTCTGATTGGAGACTGAAAAAGGCCTCGACAGCAGGATAGCCAATGTAAGAAAGAACATAAGAACAAAGTGGGATACTGCAGGAGGTTCATACAGTTTGGTTGTTGAAGTGAGGGGGTGAGGTTCCTGTGTGGCCCGGCAGTACTCAAGGATCGGTAATGTGTTTTCTCTCTAGTTTTACGGGTATATAGTGAGCTCCCCTCCCCACGGTATCTAGTTAGAAATAGGATGAACGTAGGTGCCCTCATGTCACCTCCTTGCTGAATAAGGGTAGTGATAACCGTCTCACACAAAGGTTCCCTCAGTAACAGATGGATGGATACAATCAGCAAAAGACCGTCATCAGTGGATCTGTTTTCGGCTGGATAAATATTAAATAATCCATAGGTAGAATTATTATAATAATAAACTATTCATTGTTATTAAACATGAGAAGTTTCCAAATGTTCTTATATTTGGTTAATGTAGAAAATTTGATGTGAGAATGTTGTGGCAGTCCTCGTGGTAATTGAGCTGCCAATTCATTAATATAATTTCTACATTATTTAACCAAATATACCTTTACATACAGCTTAGTTTTGGTTTAACAAATTTATTGGCAAAGCTTGGAGTACAGTTTGCCTATTGAGTCAGGTGTTGACGCTGTTTACATCTCCTATATTCATTAGCAGTTGCCTATACAGTATATAGGTCAGTGGTTCACATACACTGAGTCATTCTATAGACAAAGAAGGAAGACGGCAGTGAAGGAAGGTCACTGTATGTAATAATAATAATAATAATAATAATAATAATTAACGGTTTATTGAAAGAGCTTGGCAGCCACAAGGCTGAAAATATACAGTTACATATTTGGGGAATGGGTTTCGATTTACAAATAATATACAAGTAACATAAGTGATACAAATAAGATATATAATAACTAGATGGGGAAAAGCTCAAACTACAGGGCATTTCAACATAGTGACAGTATGTATGTATGTATGTATGTTTGTATGTTTGTATGTTTGTATGTATGTATGTATGTATGTATGTATGTTTGTATGTTTGTATGTATGTATGTATGTATGTATGTATGTATGTATGTTTGTATGTTTGTATGTTTGTATGTATGTATGTATGTATGTTTTTATGTATGTATGTATGTATGTTTGTATGTATGTAAAATAAATAATAATAATAATAATTGACGGTTTATTGAAAAAGTTCTGCAGCCCGAAGGCTGAAAATATACATTGGACATAAATGACTTATTACATACATTGGTGGTTTAACAAAAGCCTCTGTTAGAGAAAGGTAAAGGAACATACAGTGAACATACAGATTAATGTGTGTTGAACAGAAAAGCAAAACGTAGTGTAGTAACTCCCTCCCAGATGGTGTTAGAGGGACCTCACGTGGTGTAGTAGTTCCTCACAGACGGTGTTATGAGGCCTCACGTGGTGTAGTAATTCCCTCACAGATGTAGGAGAGGACCTCACGTGGTAGTAATTCCTCTCCAGATGGTGTTATGAGGGCCTCACGTGGTGTAGTAGTCCTCACAGATGGTGTTATGAGGGACCTCACGTGGTGTAGTAGTTCTCACAGACGGTGTTTATGAGGGGTCACGTGGTGTAGTAACCTCACAGATGGTG